CTCCCCTTCTACTCCTTCCCCTTCCTCTCCCCCACCTTCTTCACATTTTCAAATTTCTACGCCAAAACCCGAGGTCTATGGCAAAATAGTTTCCAGCATTCTCACGGAAACGGTAGGCCCATACTACCCGGGAGTTTGTCCATCAACGCAAGTCGACATCCCGAGACACTATGCTGGAGTGCTTAACAAATAACTTGCAGGTTTTTGTTTAAAAGCGTTGCGTATGGTGCCACCTCATTACTCAAAATGTTCGCTTAGTCATGGGTTATTTGCTACGAACATTCATCTAAACCTAACACTGCTGGTCGCAGCATAGCATGAATTATTAAGAGTATGATCCTATTCTAATCCGGAGGTCTTAATCCTGTAGAGCATTGTATTCTGGCCAACCGCAGAACACGCAGAATGACCGAATGTATCCTGCAGATTGTTGGAAGTAAGCAAATTAAAACCTGCATCTATAAGGCTGCTTTAGATCTGAACTAGAATATTTAGGTATTTAGTCTCCAACACGCTGGTGAGCGGAAGGAAGTTGAATCCATTCGACACCACCAGCAGCAAACATTGCTTAACCATCTACGACTACGCCAACCGCAACAAGAATACTTTCACTCCTGTTAACTCGTCACCTTCTAACCGCTGACTATCATGAACCTCTTCTTCATTTTCGTCGTTTGGCGAATGCAGTAAAACACCATCTGTTCTCTTCTGTTCGGGTGACAGCTGGTTGGGAAGACGTAGTTTGGAATGTTCGGACCGTGCGGAATCCTCCTTCATTCAAAATGGCTATTGCCTGTCGAAGGGAGTTTCAGTAAAGTCAAGGTAGACTAGGGATGGTCATTTCTGGTTTGTTAGTCATCGCCAGTCAGACGTACCCAACCGCAGGCCATCAAATGCCATTAAATCCAGCTTTCCTAACCACTGAGCACGTCCAACGTAGGTTAATAATAATAATAATTACAGGACAACAGGCCTGTGGCGCAGTGGTTAAGAGCGCTGGATTTGGGAAGGCGCGATAACCAAAGAACGCGGGCTCGGGGCCCAGGTGCGGCCAAAACCTGGCTGGCTGACGACGGCCAATAAGCCAGAAATGGCCGTCCTCTGTCCCTTGCCGGAAATGACTTCCTGGTGGCTGCGCGACAGACAATTGTGCACAACGGCATGGACAGATCCCCTAACCCGATCAGTGCGAACGCTTCCAATAAAAAGACTATTTTACGTTATAAGATATCATAATAGCAACACAGATACTAGCCAAAAACTCATACACGCGTTTTCCACCGATATTCTGCCGCTGCATGACACAGCTGCGAGGGGTCCGGCTCGTCAGTGTGTCCCCCAGCATTCTCCGTCTTCTTTCCGGTTGATACTCCAATTTAGAAATTCTTGCCTTTGAATTGCCTCGGAAACTGACTGCGAACTTTGAGCAGATCAGTATATTCTGAGTCTGTATGCTCAGACCGAAATTTTTTATGCCCGAATATTTGAGCCTAAGTTCATCAGCCACAGCGGATAACCGCGTAATATTCGTTAATTGTCGACAGGCAGATAGTAGTATATTTTAGGGTAAGGGGATGCCATAGTAACAGCGGAGGTACTAGCTAAAAGACCATACACGCGTGTTCCGTCGATATTCTGTCGCTGCATGACACAGCTGCGAGGGGTTCGGCTCATCAGTGGACTATCTAAAGTATCTACAAGACAGCTAGAATATACTACTAGCTGCCTGTCGGTAGTTAATGAATATTACGCAGTTAGCCGTCGTGGCTGTTAGACTTCGGCCCAAATACTCATACATCACATTTTGGTCGGCGCCCATAGACCTTAGTATAACCTCATCTACTCCAAGTTCGCAGTTAATTTCTGGGTAAATTAAAAAAGCGACAATTTCTAAACTAGAGTATCTACCAGAAAGCAGACGGAGAATGCTGGGGAAACCCCTGCCGGACCGAATCCCTCGCAGCTGTGTGATGCAGCGACAGAATATCGGCGGAACACGCGTGTGCAGACTTTTAGCTAGTAAGCCTGCTGCTAGTATGGTATCCTGTAACCCTAAAATATACTATTAGCTGCCTGTCGTCAGTTAATGAATATTACGCGGTTACCCGCTGTGGCTGATGGACTTTGGCCCAACTATTCATGCATAACATTCCCGGTCTGAGCATATAGACCTAGAATATTCAGAAGACAAAGTGGCGAGCGAACGTTGCTTTCGATAACTTCTCGTCAGGCCAGTACAGTTATATGGGACGGGGTACAGCGAGTGAGAAAAATCGATAAAAGTTAGTTTTTAAAATACAGGCTAGGCAAGAGCAGAAGGGCGCAGAAAGTTGTATGTGGTTAGTCAACCTTTGAACACGGTAAGCGCGGAGCCTGAAAGAGGTTCTTCTGGGCGCATAGGGTTGGTTTTCGTAAACTGATGGCGGTCGCTTCTGCTGTTGTTAACAGGCGCTGGCCCAGTACCTTAGAGTAGCTCGAGGGGACCTTATAAATCCCACGAAATGTTTCAGCGGGGTCCATACGATGCCCTAGATCCACTGCACGCGCAAGGATGGCGCTGTCTATCCTCCTAGTTTCACCTTTTGCTAGCCATGCTGGAAGGTGCACTCGTATGCTTTTGGAAAGGCGCTGACCCGTACAACCAATATAGCCTGCTCCACAGGAGCAAGCGAATGAGTAGATGCACATTGAGGCGGTATGAGGTGGAAGCCTATCCTTGTCTTCTCCGCTTAAAATAAAGTTAGTAGAGAATGATATGCGAACCCTTCCTGCTGGAAGTTTATCGAGACAGCTTGGTCAAGGCGTCTTCCTAGGAGTTCACTCACAGAGTCTCCTTGGAAAGGGACTTTGAGGAACAACGTTTTCTTTTCGGCGGTCAGTGTGGCGGGTTTTGCGGGTCGTTCGGCAAGGTTCTTTGCAATGAACCTGTCAGGACACCCGTATTCGCGAAGCAAGTCTCGGATTTTGCTAAGTTCCTCCTCGATACTATCTGTTGAACAAATTTTTCTAGCCCTTTGTGCCAAACACCTGACTAGATTTCGTCTTTGTTGGAGAGATACGAAACTAGCGAAGTTCGTGTATTGTCCAGACTAGGTTTTCTTGCGATAGGCGCTCCTTCGGATGCTACCGTCAGATCTCCTGTTTAGAAGGACATCTAAGAAATGAAGCCAACCGGCCGATTCCATCTCCAAGGTGAATTTGATCGATGGATGTGCTCGGTTTACAGTATTTGGGAGGGCAGCAACGTCGGTTTCTGTGGTTGCAATCCCAAAGATTTCATCAACGTAGCGACCGTAATGTATAAGCTTTTCGATCTGATCGTTCAGTTGAAATCTCTCCAGCTTGCCCATGAAGACGTCGGCTAAGAGAGGTCAAAGTTTGCAGTTAATTTCCGAAAAAATTAAAAAAACACCAATGAAGACTGTTGTTTGTTTTCTGAATTCAGGGGGATTGAGCCATTGTTGGATGGTGAGCTATTAGCGGCTTGAGTTTTTTTCGTACTCGGAGTTACGCAGGCATCAGCCCAAGTCTCCGATGTGCAGAATAAGAGGGAAGACACTAGCCTGAGAGATTTATTGTGTTCAGAACTCCGTGGCTAGGCCAGGACGTTTAGTAGTGTTAAGTAGTACCCAAGAGAGAGAGAGAGAGAGAGAGAGAGAGAGAGAGAGAGAGCCTGTGATGTCAGTGACATTCATGGGTTTTGGGAGCAAGTTCCAGAGTCCAGGCCGTATGCTTTGCATTATCCAATGAGTGACGTGTCTAATGGCTTCCGTTGCATCAACTGGCACGTCCAAGAGGGGCATGAATGACTGTGATTGGCTGAATGTGCGCGCGTATGCGCGCGCTCATCAGACTGTTGCAAGGTCATTGTGTGTGGAACCACTTGCAGGGGAAGACGTTTGACCCGGAGGCGGCAGGACGTTGAACAAAGACGCCGGGAGAATCCCGCTGAAGGCTGTTGACTACAGGTGCGCCGAATTCATCTTCCACAACCTGTGTCTCTCCCCCCCTTGGAAGGGACCGGGGCGGTCTCCGCTGCTTGTGTCCTAGCTGGAAGACACGTCAGTCGGCGGCGGACTGCTGGTCACCCGGCCACCTCTTTGTTCTTCTCCTTCCACTTGTGAGAAGGAATGGAACATACCTACGCATTTGCGCCCCCATGGTCAATAAGTCCTACTCCAGCTTGTGGTCATATCTGGTAGGCAGTTTGTTTTTCTCCCGGACATCCTCGCCACTCAGACGCCGTGTGGTCCTTCTTGACTTTCAGCCTATCGTCTCCTCGCGTTAGATGTTTCAGGGTTGGGGTCTAGGGCTGCAGTTAAGGGCTAGGGTTATGGTTAGGACTAAGGTTAAAGGGTTAGGGTTAGGGCTTAGAGTTAGGAGTCAGGGTTAGGGATCAGAGTTAGGGGCCAAGGGTTAGGGGTAGATGTTACGGCAACTATTTCCCAACCACTCGAAGTGCAACCGCGCATTCCCAACAGCTTTTCTTTTGCATACAACTGACGTAAATGGTAATGTTCTCACGAACTAATGAGTCATATCTCACGAGCCCCTAGCTTTTACAGCAGCAAAACTGAGCAGTGAATAATATAGAGATTTTGAACGTTAAGAAAACTTGACAACGGAGCACGACGGCGGAGCACGCTAGCAAGGCGGGTTTTACAGGTGTGTCCTTTCTCGTCACACTCAAACAAGCAATCCGGTGAAAGAAAATGGGACTAAATTGTCAAAGGTAAATTAGTCCGGTACCTCAACACACAACCACTTTACCTCGTCGCCTGAGCGTTCCCGGAC